TTGCTGGATATTAAATTCGGGTTTGGGTTCCTCACCTACCCGATTGCACAACTTTATCCCAATTCTCCCCAGCCCTTGGATTGATCCAATGACTATAAAGTGAACCCCTTATAACTTACCCCTTATAACTTACCCCTCATTATAGTCTGGACGGTCAAACACTGGACTCATCCTTCGGGCCATTATCCAATACAGAAAATTCTAGGCCCAAACATTGGTGTGAATGTGCAATTGTAGGTAAATCTCATGATGTAAAAATGCAATTAACCAATTTGAAATGTTGTCACTTTTGTTTTTATGGACACAGTTTTACTTCGCAAGGATGAACATCCACTCCACAATCACAAACAAATAGCTACTAATTTAACACAGTCAAAAATCCACTTACATAAATGCCCAAAATAGACAAAAAGCCATTTTGTTCTTTTAATACACACCTCAAATATTCATAGTTCAAAGTAAATTGAGAACAAGTGTTCCAAGAATGTCCTAATGTTGTGAAGCTCCAACTGACACTCTTCTCCACTTGCTCTTGTAACCCACTATCTTTGTCCTCTTCTTAGAAAACTATGCAAGATACCCAAATAATTCTCTTATATCCACACTTACTTCATGTACATCAATAAGTTTTCTGCTGGATTTTCTTTCAGTCTATCCAACGCACTTGACCATTCTTTTATGCTTCGACCAAAAAGGAACGAACCCAAACCTTTAAGAGCTAATGGAAGACCGTTAGCAAATTCTACAACATTCTTTGATAGCTCAAGAAACTCTTCTCCAACCACATCCTTCTTGAAGGCTTTCGAACTAAAGAGCTTAAAAGCTTCCTCGTCCGTTAATGGCTCAACCTCGTATACTTTATCCACTCCAAATGTGCTCAGCAGACGTTCATCTCTTGATGTTATGATGATCCTACTACCTGAACCAAAACAACTACGATCACACAATGCTGCCAATTGTTCTAACTGATCCACGTCATCAAGAACGATCAGAACCTTTTTAGTGTGTAGTCTCTCCCTTAGTACATTTATTCCCATTTCAACATTCCATATATTTACATTTCTTTTCAGCAAGTCTGAAAGAAGTTGCTTTTGTAAATGAGTTGGACCTTGTTTATCAGTTACCTCTCTAATATCGGCAAGAAAGCTGCAAGCTTCAAACCTAGCACGGATGCTGTCAAAAACAACTCGTGCAATAGTTGTTTTACCTATACCCTTCATCCCTGAAATCCCTATTATCTGAACATCATCCGGCCATGTCTCTAACTCCAAGTATGAGAGAATCTCTTTCACGCGAGAGTCGATCCCAACTAAATCCTTGGATACACTTGAGATTGATTCATTTAGTTCATTGAAAATCCATTCGACAATAGTTTGAATAACTCTGGATTCGAATCTGTAAATAAACAAATAAATGATTAATAAGCTGTCATATCACCATCTAAACCAATACGCCATTTTTGGTGAGGTGCCTTCAACATCTCTAGACCAAAAAGACAACAACATTTCTAACATGTACTTATCTCGAATGTCGGAAAGAGTTATTTGGGCCATCTTTCATACTATCAATCAAAATTGGGGACTTTTCTCAACCTAGAGAAGTTCAGATTTCTGGTCCTTAAATTTTGATGCTTGTCTAATCCATTACCAGGTACTTGTGCTGCATCAACTGGTATAATATTAAGGATTTTTCTTGTCTAGTCGCAGACAAGGAAGGAAGAAAATAAATTTATTTTCTTTGGCAGAGTGAGAAAATAAAAGAGAGTATAGAAATTGACTTGAATGCTAGAAGAAGAATAGTAACTTTACCCGTCTTGCAAATTCCATCCGGTGAGATTAGCTACTTCTTTAAGTGCATCTCTCCACCTGTACACCTTCTCCTTATTGTTCTTGAAGACCCGTTCATACTCCGAGAAGGCTTTCGCAAAGCTCCCCCTTTGTCTTAGTACGTCAGATGGTTCCACGTCATAGAAGATTGGGAGTATTGTCTGCCCCATCAATCTTGAGCATTCAAGAGCCTTTACAAGTTCATCCAAGCACCTAGTTGAATTGGCGTAATTTTGTGAAAGAACAAGAATTACATATCTTGATTCTTCAATTGCTTTCGAGAGCTCTGGCGGCATGGCTTCTTCCCTCCCCCTTTCCAATTCATCATCATCTCCAATTGTGAATATTCCCCTCTGATTCAAAGCAGCATACAGATGGTCTTTAAAATTTCTGCAGCTGTCATTGCGTCTGCAACTGAGGAAGATATCGTACTTCCATCTAGAGGTTGAAGAAGAAGAAGAGAGAAGATTAGAGGAACTTTCCGTGGTCATTGGAGGAGTGAGAAGCTTCGGTTGGATTGGGTTACCAAAATGTCCCTGCAATTTCTAGCTTCCCTTCTGTTCTGTTCGTTTCCTGTTTTCTCTTTGGGTCGAAAACCATTATTTTATTTTATTTTGCCAAAGTTCCATTATTGTTATTATTATTTTTTGTCAAAATTAGGAAGAGGTGGGGAACTCACACATGGCTATAGTGGAGACTCGAATCCAGATGCATACCCTAAAGAAAGAGTGGTGATTTCTCTACTCCTATTTCTCCTATTTTATCACTTACACTTCTTTTTTATAACTAAAAAAGGAGTGTAAGTGGATAAAATAGGAGTGGGGAAATCATTACCCTAAAGAAAACCATTATTTTTTATTTTTTATTTTGGTTTGAACCACGAGGTGGTCCTGGATGGGCCCCAACTATGGGTGGCACCTTTAAGCCTTAACCACAACCCAGACTAATCCCCGCTCACACCGGGTCGGCCCGTAAGGGGTAAAGTGCTGGCCAAAGTGGTGACTCCATACGAGAGCAAGGATCGAACTCCTGACCTTCTCTTAAGGAATGAGAGTGCCGAACCACTCACACCAACCACATTGGTTTGGTGTAATAGTAATATCTTGTACTAAGACCTTTTTCACAAAATTTCTGGACATTCTAAAAAGGGCAAATAGCCGAAAACGCTCCTGAACTATAACGCTTATTGAAATATCCATCCTGAATCATTTTTTCAGCCAATTTAACCATCAGACTATTTTAAATGGCCAATTTACCCCCTGCTGTTAGTTTCTATGAAGTTTCATCCAATTTTTCGTTAAAAATAATACAAATTTATAAATAAACCCAATCCTAGACATGTATTTATAAAAAAACACAAACACTATTTAAACATAGAAACATATCCAAAATCAACAATTTTATATTTTTTTGGATGTGTTTATAAATGAGTTTTGAGTGTGTGTAATAATGGGTTTTGGGTGTGTTTATAAGAGCAACTTCACCCATTTGCCCTTAGCCATGGTTAGAGCATTTCCACCAAGAGGCCTGGGGGGAGGGCTGGGGGAAAATGCTGTTTCCAGCAACACAGATCTGCCAGGGCAAGGTGTAGGCCTCAGAAAAAAGAAATTGCCTGGGCTAGCCCTTGTGGAGGTCCAGCCCGAGTAACAAAACTCGTTTTGGGCTGACGTCACGACGACGTCAGCGCTGCTGTTTAAATTTTTTTAACCTTAAAAGAAATTTGACGCGCCCGCTACAGTGACCCGCCAACGGGTCTATTCCACGTGGAGCATTCTCGAGCTGTCCGATCAGCTTTATTCCAAATCCAACGGCAGCCCTTTTTAGCGAATAAAAAA